GCCCAGGACCGGGCGGGGCGAGGAGCGGCAAGCTCGCTCCCTCCGGCCTGTCCCTCTCTACCCTCCTCGCCGGGGGCCTGCCTGGCGCCGTCTCCCCGCTCGATCTCCAAGGAAATGTCCCCGACGGGTGGCAGGAGGCGGACCCGCACCGAGCTCCACCACCCCAGACGATGCCCAGACCCGGCTCGGCCGGAAGCGGTTCCAGGTCGCGTGAGCCGTCGCGGGTACTTCCTGAGCGGACGTGGGGTGCCTGTTGTGAGAAGAGGCTGAAGAAAGAAAGAGACCGGGCTTCCTGCCCCGCGGGACGGGTTCGAGAATCAGGGGTGCCCGGGGCCCTCTGGTCGGACGCCACCCTCAAACAGGGAAACAGGCCAAGAGGAGCCAGGCCCTGGGGAGGCCAAGGGAAAGGGGACAAGCGCTGAGGAGGTGGAGTGGTGGCTCCAGCTGTAGCCTTTACGGAGCTAAAAATAAAGTGCCTCCAAGGAAAGTTCCAAGACCCTAAATAAGACGACCTCCTCGGGCCGTCCATGCGCATGCGCAGCCCAGCGGCCGGCGGAAAGGACTCACAACTGGGTCTGCAGACTCCGAAGCTGCCGGGCCAGGCTGCCCTGCCCACCGCAAGCTGGGGCTCTGCGCACACTGCACCTACGCGGCACATAGGCACTGTATTCACTAGCCCTTAGCAAAGGAAAAAATGAACAACGGAGGGAAACAAAATGTAGTCAGCGCTTGGGGTCCGTGGGTTCATCACCGGATTCAACCCACAGGAGAGAGACTATCTTTCCCCCAGATTGCACCTGAAGTAGAAGCCGTGGCACTTACCCATTATCCCAGAGGCTGCGAGGCTGAGGCAGGAGGATGGAAAGTTGGAGCCCAGCCCGGGCAACTTACCAACTTAGTGAGCCTGAATATCAAAATAAAAAATAAAAAGGGCTGGGGTGTAGCTCATTGCAAAGGCCCTGCGTTCACTCTTTGGTACCTGGGGAGGTGGAGTTCCTCTGTATTGGGCATGTAGACTTTTTCCCTTGTCGTAGTTCCCTAGATAGTACAGGATAGCAAACAATCTAGAGATTAAGTATCATTTCAGTGCAAAGGCTGTATGCCAGTGTGACACCGTTATATACGGAAGGGATGGGGGTAATGAAGGGATTTTGGTAACCCGGGGTAGTCCTGAATCAGTCTTCCACAAATACCAAGGAGCACGGTCCCAGGAAGGGAAGTAAGAAAGCAAAAATTTTACAAGACCGTGACTTGGAGACACGCCAGGCTCTGCCCTGTCTCCCGCACTCCTCCTGCTTCTCTGGGTCCCCCAAGCCTCGCATTAGATAGGAATATCAGCTCGTGCCCGCAGGACCGCTTTGGAAGCGAGGGGAAGGCAGTGGCATGGTGAAGACTGTGACGGCCGCTCTGTCTTCAGGGCTCAGACGCCCTAGAGCAGCACTGGAGAACCTCGTAGACACCGAGCACCTGGCCTGCAGCTCAAAACCCACTTACTTCTCCCAAAGGGGCAGCACTGCCCTATTGCGCTGTCGTCCAGGTGTCCAGGGCTCGGCTGCTTGAGCGATGCCAGGGTGGCTTGGCTTGTGTGCCAACCGAGAGGATCCTGTGTGCCCACTGCGCCTGCCTTAGTGTCGTGCCCAGGGCATGACTGCCTTCACTTTATGTGATCTTACATTTGCTCGATTCATTTATATTTTAATTTTTATTGCTTTGTTGAACATTTCTTTTCATTTGCAGCACTTGAGATACAACAACATATTGAGCTACATCTCTAGCTCCTTTTTTACCTTTTTATTTTGAGACAGGGTTTCGCTAAGTCATGACCCTCCTGCCCCAACCTCACAGAGTACCGGGATCACAAGCCCACACAAGCAAACCTGGATTATTCATTGTTGTTACTGTAAGGCAGCACAGGTCTGCTCCCCCAGCCACAAGCACTGCATACCCTGTGAGCCTCCATTTAGAATCATTTTTTATTTTAATGTAATACAACCAGATATTAATACAGAAAAAAATGTTTTGGTACCAGGGATTGAACTCAAGACTTGTGCCTGCAAGGCAGGCACAGTGCCACTGAGCTAATTCTGTGGCTCAAAATAAACATTTTAATCTTACTTCTATTAAAAAAAAACAAAATTTCTTAAAATAATTAGAGAATAACAAGTAAACATACCGTGTATCACGATCTCAATGGCCAAAATGTTACTCAAAGGACAAGTCATAGACAAAAAAACTACAAAAATTTCTCTTCAATTAACTAAAAGAAAGTAATATAAATGAAACAATATTAGCATATATATTATTTTTGAAACAACAAAATTGATAATTGAGAATGATTTGAATTCTTCCTGTTTTATATTTATGAATCTTGTTTTGCCCTCTTTATATATATATATATATCTATATATTTTTTTTTTTCTCATATAAGAGAAACCATGTGAGGCTTGGGATTTAGCTCAGTGGCACTATGCCTGCCTGGCAAGTGCAAGTTCCTGAGTTCGATCCGCAGTACCCCACCCCCCAAAAAAAAGAAAAAAGAGAGAGAAACCATGTGATATTTGAGTTGTGTGTTTAACTTATTTCATTTAACATTATGTTCTCAAGTTGCTGAGCTGGGCATAGTGGTGCCCACTTATATTCCCAGCACTGAGGACGCTGAGGCAGGAGGCCAGCCTGAACAAAAAAGGGAGACTCTGTCTCAAAAAAAAAAAAAATTAAGTTGCATCTATCTGCCCGTGACTGACTCAAGTTTATGTTTCTTCGTGTCACAGTACTACTCCATCACGTGTAAATACAACTTTTTTTTTTTTTGGTACCGGGGATTGAACTTGGGTCCTTGTGCTTGCAAGGCAGGCCACTGAGCTAAATCCCCGGCTCCCATATTTGCTTGTATCATTCATCTATTGATGGACACTGCTATCTCCGGGATCTAGCTGTTACAAACTGTGCTGCTGTAAATATGGTGTTTACAGGTATCACCTGCATGGTAAATACAGGTATCACCATAATGTGATGGCTTTAACTCTTTTGGGAAGACACCTAGAAGGAGGACAGCGGGGGCAAATGGGATTTCTGTTTTTAGTTTTCTGAGGAATCGCCACACTGATTCTCATAGTGGTTGTAAAGGTTTGCACTCCCACCGACAGTGTTGAAGGGTTCCTTTTTCCTCACATTGCCACGCCAGCGTTTGTTACCATTTGATTTCTTTATGATAGCCATTCTTTCTTAAATAAAACCGAATCTCAGTGTTGCTTTTAATTTGCATTTCTCTTATATTCGGTGACACTGAACATTTTTTTTTCATGTATTTATGGACTGTATTTCTTCTTCTGAGAAGTGTCTATTCATTTCAGTTACCCATTTCTTGATTGGGTCTTTTATTTTGAGGAGTCTAATTTTTTTTCTTTTAGTTTCTTTTTGAGTCCTTTTGCGGGGGGCTTGGTTTCTTGAGACAGGGTCTCACCAGGCAGTTCAGACTGGCCTTGAGCTCACTATGTAGTTGAAGCTAGCCTCAAACATGATTCTCCTGCCTCAGCCCCCCACCCCATCTCCACTGCTGGGATTACAGGCATGCACCACCATGCCCAGTCCCTTTATATATTCTTTTATTTGGTAC